TTAAAGATTAATACTCACGAGTCAGACACTCTACTGAATCTGACTATATCGCCAATACCACCAGCAGCTGTTCAGTAATTCTTCAGTCTTCGATATCAAAGGCTGGCAGTGCATATTCAGGAAAAACATGGCCGCCTTTATACACATCGCATTGAATATTTTGAGCCTTCTGATTGGTTAACTCTTCTATTGGTGAACTATAAAATGAGTCAGCTCATTTTGGCTGGCTCACTAGTACACCAGGGTACCCAAAAATTCCAACATTCGGTTCATGGTATCCTTAGCATCCTTCTGTAGAACCATACCTCCATTGCCTCGAGTCTCTTCTTCATGTTTGAGGAAACCGTCCAGCATTCGCTGCCGTAAAGGACAGATATCACGTAGCAGTTCAGTACTCTTTTCTTTGTTACCAACGAAATCATCCTGTCTCGTAATACTCTGCCTAGCTTTTGGAATGTGTCTTTGGTCATACCAATACGTCTTCGGATCTCAGCGTCACACTTCTGTCAGAACACTCCCCAGATATTTAAATTGCTGCTTGATTTTAGTGTCCCAGGCATGTAAATCGCATTTCGGGTTCATCTTTTTGCTGATGACCATGCATTCTGTCTTCTTGTAGTTTGTGCTTAGTCCCTTCTTCTCGCTCTCCTTCGCTACATTCTGTAGGAGGTTTTGTAATTTTCCACGGCTCGAGCTTCGCCGTTATTGTGAAGTGCTTGGTTTACAAATTCAGTTATGGCCGTGAGCACGTCAGCGGTAGATCGGGCAAAGCGGAAACCATACTGCTTGTCGGGGAGCATATTATAGGAAGTAAGGTGCTTAACCACTTCGGCGTTGATTAAAGTCTCGAAGACTTTACCGAAGAGTAGTAAGAGACTGATAGGGCGGCAGTTAGATGAGCCAGAAGGGTCTCCAGAGTTCTTAAAGACAGGCACAACAGATGAGGACTTCCAACAGGGTGGAAAACAAGAGTCGGTGAGGCAGTAGTTGTATAGGTTTTAGTGGACAGGGGCCAGTTCAGGAGCACATTTCTCCAGGACAATGGCCGGTATCCCATCTCCATCACTAGCCTTATGGGAGTCTGATTTTGAGATAATGTCCGTTACCATCGTTGGGGTTATGTGCATCTCAGTACAGCCTCAGTTCTGGCGGGGTCGGGTGTGGGTACACCTGATGAGTCTAGCGTTGAAAGATACGGAACGGAATACAGAAAACTACACAAAGAAAAAAGGGCCAAATACAGGAATGCTAAAGAAGAGTGACTAAACAAAAAATGTGCAGAAATAGAGAGATTGGGTACCACCAACAAAGGATATATGCATAAACAAATAAGGCAACAGGATAGAAGACATGCTCGTCAACAGGCTGCATAAAATCAAAGGATGGAATGTTCATATTAGAGAAGGAAAAAATTCTTCAGAGCTGGAACGAATATATTGGAGAACTCTTCCACGGCGAAAGAGAACAACCAGCAATACACAGAACTGCCGACAGACCTGAAATTCTAAAAACCGAAGTAGAAGCTGCACTGGCCAAATTGAACAGAAACAAGGCGGCAGGGCCAGACGGAATTGTAACATAAATGCTGACAGCCTTAGATGATTTTGGCATAGATACGATTACAGAGATTATAAATTAAATTTACATTAGTGGGGATATACCGGAAGATCTACGCAGATTTATTTTCATAGGACGAGAGAAACAAGGCGCAAACGAATGTGAACTCCACCAAACAATCAGCCTAATGAGCCACATAACAAAACTCATCATCCGAGTTCTGATGAATAGAGCGCGAAACAGAATTAGGCCAGAGATAGGACAAGAACAGTGCGGGTTCATTAAAGACACCGGAACAAGGAACGCGACATTCATGCTCAGAATGTTATCAGAAAGAGCAATACAAATGCAGAAGGATGTGCATGTATGTTTTATAGAATACGCAAAGGCCTTCGACAAATTACGCCACAAGGTTCTGTTGGAACTGCTCAGCAACCTTGATATATTTGGGAAAGATATTAGAATAATCAAGAACTTATACTGGCAGCAAACGGCCTGCATGTGGATAGAGAACGAGTTCAGCGAATATACAAAAATAGAAAGGAGTGTAAGGCAAGGGTGTGTCTTCTCACCGGACTTATTCAACCTATACAGAGAGGCAATTCTGAGAGAACTGGAAATCCTACTAGAATTCATCTTTGACGGCTACAAGTCAAAATACATGACTATAAAAATTTAAGAAAAATTAAAATTAAACAGTTAAATTCAAAACCTTCTATTATTTAAAATATATACATGGCTTATTCTCTCAAACTAAAATGATATAAATAATAATTACATTATGAAAAAAAATGACTAACAACATTTACTCACTTAGACAATAAAGTTCATCATTTAGCATCCTCCATAGTTTACCTTGACTTTCAGTTAGCCTGAAATATATTTATGGTAGTTTTTAATTTCAAAAGTTCTGGAAACCTAACGACAGTTTTATTTCTGCGTGTAGATACTTCTTACAAAGTGAAATCCTTTCATTTGCCTTGATAAAGCCTATCCCAAGATGAAATGCTTCTGCTGAAATACGTTCATTTTTTTCTCTTTTTGTGTTGTACTTTTATAGATATATTCTTAGTTATATCGGAATTTTTACATAGATAGATAGATCTGAACTAACATAGATAGATAGATAGATAGATAGATAGATAGATACAGAGACAGACGGATAAAGAGACAGACGATATTGAAGGAAGAAAGAGGAGACTTTTCTTTTTAGATAGCTAGCTATGAAAAACTAATATATGAAAGACTATGATAGATAGATAGATAGATAGATAGATAGATAGATAGAATATGAAAAACTAAGATAGATAAATATAGAGAGAAACAGATAGATAGACAGACAGACAGAGATATTGAAGGAAGAAAGAGGGGACTTTTCTTTTAAGATACCTAGCTATAAAAACTAATATATGAAAGACTATGATAGATAGATATAGAGAGAGAGAGAGAAAGAGAGACAGATGAAAAAATAAGATAGATAGGTAGATAGATGAAAAAACTAAGATAGATAGATAGATAAATAGATAGATAGAGAGACAGATAGAGATATAGAAGGAAGAAAGGGGGGACTTTTCGGGCATTAATGAGTGAAAGTAAAGAAAGAAGGAATGGATTGAAGGAAGGTAGAGAAAATGTGTGTGTGTGTGTGTGTGTGTGTGTGTGTGTGTGTGTGTGTGTGTGTGTGTGTGTGTTTGCGCGTTTGCATGTTATTATTTTTTTCATTTCATTGCCTCAAGAATTTGGTAGCTGCTGCTCGCTTGAGTTCTCAAAAAATTTCAAGAATGAAAAGTGCTAAACTGATAAATATTAAACATTTAAAATGAAAAAAAGAAGCTATAGGCCGCCCACTTCACTGTTTTCTATTTTTTTAAGAAGTTTTAAGGCAATTTCAGGCAAGAATCCCTCGCGTTGACGAGAATGCCACAAAAACAGCTTCATTCTAATCAAAATGGCCGTGACCAAGTGTAAATCCAAAGGATTATTACATTTGTTTTATATCGCATCTGAAAAAAAAGGCTACAATATATTTTATACAATAAAAATCGCCTGAATTAAAATTAAGGTTTTTTCCCTAAAATTTTACAATTTCTACCATCGATATAGACAAAATTTTATTTCAGATATTATCCTAAAATTATCTAAGTTTGGCACAGGGCCAATGCAATAACGATAAAACTTACTACGATTTCTATGTGATTGCTTACTTCCTATCACACTATAAGAGACACTGCCAAGGAAATCAGTTATAGATAACAAATATCTCAATTAAACTGAAGTTTAAAATACGTATAGAAAATTGAGTATAATAGAAAATACAAAGTGGCATAAGACAAGGATGAGTCGTCTTGCCAGACTTATTTGATCCATACAGTGAGGAGGTCCTAGGAGAGCTAGAAAACATACCATTATTTATTACTGGTGATCATTATCTTAACAGTATAAAATATGCTGGTGACACCATGTTGGTGGTTTTATCTTTTTATGTGCCGTGCCCCTTCAGGATGTGGACGATCATGACTCTCCACAATTTCCTGTCCTTTGTAGCTCTTAATAAATTTTGTCTTTTTCTTAAACCTTTAACTGTCATCCATTTACTCAAGGACGCATTTCTTCTCTTTCTATGCACCTTGTCTCTTCGGGTCGTTGGCGATCATGGCACTCCACAATTTCCTTTCTTTGTAGCTCTAAATAAATTTTATCTTTTTGTTATCTCTTCTAAACCTTTCTCTGTCATCCATTTACTCAAGCACGCATTTCTTCTCTTTCTGTGCTCCGTGTCCATTCAAGTCGTTGACGATCATAGCTCTCCACAATTTCCTGTTCTTTGTAGCTCTTAGTAAATTTTGATTTTTTGCTATCGCTCCTAAACCTTGTTCAGCCAACCATTTACTCAAGCTCGTTAGGTGGATTATATACTGTTTTCATCTGCCATCTTGCCTCCAATATGCCCTAGGAGTGTCAAATTTTCTAAACCCTCTTTCTTCATTATGCGTCCTAGAAATTTCAACTATCTCTTAATCACATTTCTGTTGTTTCAAGTCTCTTCTTCATCTGTGAGGAGGCCGATACTAGACGCAGAAAAAAGTTATAGTGACTCCCAGTAAAGGAAAGCTGAAAGAAAGTGGTAGAGTTCAGTTGTAAGAAAACAGAATGGTCGCTAGCAAAAGGGACAACCCAAGATACGAACTACAAATTGGGAACGTCAGAAACAATCAATACAGATATTTAACTACCGCGGAAGCACTAAACAAACGACAGAAAATACTATACAAAAGTCCAAAGGCGAATTGGAACAGCAAAAGATGCTTTTCAAAATCTAATCTAATCTTAATAAGTATTAAGAAACAGAAAAATTTCATTAGAAACAAATAAAAGAGTATTGAACAGTTATGCAATATCAATCTTTCTATATAGCAATGAATGCTGGACAGAAATGAAAGGTTTACAGCCATACCACGTTGCAACACCGATTTTCGTACGATCGCCTAAGTTAAGCAAAGTCTCGCCTGTTCATTACCTAGATGAGTGACTGCTTGGAAATACCAGGTGCTGTAAGGTTGGGTGTGCAGGTGGTGCAATCGATAACGGCCCCGAAATGAAAATCGAAGAGTTGAGTTCTAAATCCATTCGGGTTCGTTACTTACGTGTAAATATACCCGTGGGAAGGGTATGAATCCATCTGTTTTCTACCCCTAGCTATGGGTTAATTAGTAAGATTTGTATCAGTAAAACTTATTAATATCTTCAAAACATACTTGCAATCAAAAATATTTTCTGATTTTAAATAACCTGCATAAAAGTGGATAAGCCGTAGAAAAAACACTCATGATGAGGAAACGTGAAGCAACAGAGACGCTGTTCTACAGGAGGATGCTGAGAATAACATGGTAGATGCATGTGAACAACAAGGAAGTGACAAGGAACATGGAAACAAAAATCAGACGTACTTAGAATCCGAAAGAGTTGAAATTTCTATGACACATAATGAGGAAAGAGGACTTGGGGAATTTGACACTCTCAATGCATGCTGAAGGCAAAAGGGACAGAGGGAAACAGTGAGTAATTGATAGGTATAGTAAGAAGACAAAACTTACTTAGAACAACAAATGAAAGAAAGTTGTGGAGAGCCATAATCATCCATGTCCTGAAGGGACAGAGGGAAACATAACCTACTTAATGAGGTGGTGTAAATGGATGGCAGAACAGTGCCTTGGAAGGATAGTAAGGAAACATACATTACTTAGAACTACAATGAATAGGAAGTTGAGGAGGGCCATAAACATCCATACCTTGAAGGGACAGAGAGAAACAATGAGTAATCTACTTCATGAGATTGTGTTAAATGGATGGAAAAACAGGCACTGGATGGAATATTAAGGAGACAAACATCATTTAGAACTACAGAGGTTAGGATGTTGTGGAGAACCATAATCATCTATGTCCTGAAGGGACAGGGGAAAACAGTGAGTAACCTACCTAATCATCTTGTGGAAATGGATGGCAGAACAGGTACTGGGAAGCATAGTAAGGAGACAATCATTAGTTAGAACTACAAAGGATAGAATGTTGTGGAGAGCCATGATCACCCTCGTCCTGAAGAAGTTCAATATGCGGTGTTCCTTCAGCATATGAGTAAAAAAAAATCCTCTCTTCTGTAGCTCTTAGTAATGTTTGTCTTTTCGCTGTGCCTTCGAGGGTGCTTTGCTCGAAAATTCTCTTCCAACTCCACTCTCGACTTACCTGGAGAATCTTTGCATGAATTTTCTTCTAGAACAGATTCTCTACTGACCGATTTGCACATAACTCCGTCCATTATTTCTGGTATAATTTCTAAACAATATCCCCACGGTATTCCTGCAATGGTCCAAAAGAAATGTGCTCCTGAACTGGCTACAGTTCTCTCCAAACTTTAGAATAAATACCTCGCTACTTCTTGCTTTCCAAAGGTTCCTGTCTTTATGCAATCCTTACTTATAACTACAGAATGAACTCTTCCTAACACTATGTATACTACGCCTCTCAAGAGAGAGTGACGAATCGATTCGAGCTTCTCGGCTTGACGGTCGAACTCTCTGCATCTGAGTTAAGAGGAACCCGGACGAGGCTCCGTCGATAGGCAGAGTCTAGTTCCTGGAGGTTGACCAACCCGATCCCGTTTATACGTGTTCTACGGTCATTTTTTGGCCAAGCCTCCAGGCTCGGGAAACCCACGTTAAAATCGGTCTTGTGCCATATGCAACCCTCTCAGGGGGGGCTGAATACCGAATCGAGCCGAGCTTCTCGGCTTGACAGTCGAACTCTCTGCCTTTGAGCTAAGAGGAACCCGGACGAGGCTCCGCCGATAGGCAGAGTCTCGTTCCGGAGATACTGACCAACCCAATCCCGTTTATACGGGTTCTACGGGCATTTTTGGGGCCGAGCCTACGGGACCGTAAACCCACGTTATACTCGGCCTTGTGCCACATGCAACCCTTGTTTGGGGGGGGGCTAGATGCCGAATCGAGCCGAGCTTCTCGGCTTGACGGTCGAACTCTCTGACTCTGAGCTAAGAGGAACCCGGACGAGGCTCCGCCGAAGGGCAGAGTCTCGTTCGGGGAGGTTGACCAACCCGATCCCGTTTATACGGGTTCTACGGGCATTTTTTTGCCAAGCCTCCGGGCCCGTAAACCCACGTTAAACTCGGCCTTGTGTCACATGCAACCCTTGTGGGGGGTGGCTAGATACCGAATCGAACCGAGCTTCTCGCCTTGACGGTCGAACTCTCTGCCTCTGAGCAGAGAGGAACCCGGACGAGGTTTCCACTCTGCTCAGAGGCAGAGAGTTCGACCATCAACCAACCCGATTCTGTTTTTACAGTTTCTACGGGCATTTTTTTTTTTTTTGGCCGAGCCTACGGGCTCGGAAAATCCACGTAAAACTCGGCCTTGTGCCACATCTTTCCCTCGTGGGGGGCAAGTAAATATCGAATCGAGTCGAGCCGATAGTAGTTCACTCCAAACCAGACTGACAGTCATACTAACACCTTCCACATCTTGTATTATTATTTCGTGTAATATAGCTTCGTTATTTCTACTCTTGTGTTCGTCTTGTTCTTCCTTGGTCCTAACCTGGACCATAACACTAACAAATCATGTAGTGAATATCATGTTGAACGCACACGCTTCTAGATCATTTCACATTAATGCAAGTGACCCCAAGGCTGCATCCTTGAACCTACGCTGTTTTTTATCTTCATCAACGACCTTCCCGATGTCATCTGTGGCACCATTTAACGAGGCAGAAAAAGAAAAGAAAGAAAAGAAAGAAAGAAAGGAGAGGCTAAGGACCGAATCGTGGATGATAAGCAGAACACCGCGGCTAAGAGACAATGGTTGAAGGATATTCTGATAAGTAACAAATGGCGAAAGAGTGTCATTACAATGACGGGGAAGTTCTGAGTGGATGGGGGAGTCGGGTGTGTTTTGGCAACGGTCGTGTTATCTAGGGATACGTAAACAAACTGCTGGCCGACTGGCCAAAGAAAAATTCAAATGAAAATGTTATTTCGATAAGTGACGAAAAACAGGTGAGCAAAAGGGCTCTGGATAGATATGAAAATTAAAAGCCCACAAGACGTTTCCACTGACCGACTTCTTTCGACGGAACATCTTTGGCCTGCGATAATAAAATTATGTTATCAGAAATATGTACCGAAGGGAAATCAATGGGAATTTAGAAATGTCTTTTCGGGGCGACGTTTGGCCGTGTTAAAAAGTCCACCCATTCGGATAATTAGCGATAAAATGCCTGACGAAGACCACGTGTAGAACAAGAGTTATGACCGCCATTGTTCATATTGTCCCGTTTTCGGCTAGAGGAAGAAGAGGAAAAGAAAAGATAATTTTTTTTAGTTAAGCAAGATATTTTTTTTTCCTGAAACAAAACCGCGGATTCGTCCACGCCCGACTAAGACATCATTGGTCGAGTGGTGATCACGTGACGCACGAAGGAGGCTGTCGCCGCCCATCCAGAGTATAGGTATAAGAAGCTGCTACGAAAAAGTAGGGAGGGCAGTTCACGCCCTTTGAAGTATGGTAAGAAGGTGGGAGTAAGGAAAGGCTCTCAAAAATGGAGAAAAAGTGGAAATTCCTAACCAGAGAGGTGGATATGTATTTAGAATTATCGAGAAACCCCGACGCCGACAACCCCCCCCCCGTTTTGGTCGGCGTCCATATAAGCGAAGCCACAGCAAGCAGAAATCAGTTTGAGAAGAGTTGAGTTTTGAGTTGAGTTTCAGTTCGAGTTGAGATCGAGTTTCGGTCTCCAGTTGAAGCCGCCTCGCAGATAGCTGACCAAGATTCACGCAAATTCCGGACTCCTCTTCAACCCAAGAACAATTATTTTGAAGAGCGACTTAGATCCAGACCACCAAAATAAGTTCTTTTCGACTTTCGTCCGAAGACACACCGAAAAACCAATCTCTTAGAGAGCAAACAACTTGAAGCGTTAAAACTCGCCTAACGGAAAACGACGTGTCACAATCCATAGAACGGGTCGGGAGATAGGTGCAGTCCTATGTATCGAACAACTAGACATAAAGTTTGTTATCTTTTTCTTTGATACCTTGAACTTTTGAGTTTTCATTTTATTTTATTTTATGCATATTTGTGTGGTGTCAGCCCCGTTGAACTCGATTTGCATTACGGCCCCAATTGATTGATCTCGTCTGCCTAAGATCAATTCACAACGTGGGTAGGCAGACTGGAGATCTATGCAGTTACCTTGGTAACCAGGTGTTGGAAGCGAGTTGGGAACGACGAGGCTGATATCAAATCTAACCAGATTCCCACCCGAATCACCAAAAGGTTAGAACGTCACATTTGGGTGCCGCGACCGATACCAAGCCAGTTGGTCCTCACAGGACGAGACAACACGACTGACGCGACAGGCGGACGTCACGTTTGGAGCAGCGACACCCGAACGGAGCAGCGAGGAGCGAACAGCCGGCGCCGCGGCGAGGACGTCCCAATTGGTGCTGTTTAGGGACGTCACAGTTGGTGCCGTGGTAGACCAGGATAGAACGTCACAGTTGGCGCTGCGACCAGGGGACGACGTCACACATCAGTTCCCAACTAGGAATTTATGCAGATGACATAACTATTTACTCTTGTCTTAATAGCAAGCTCGACGGGTTCGAAAATGTAAAACTGGCAACTACTCTCGAAAAAGACCTCCAATTATTTGTTAACGAGAGCAAGGAATGGCTTTTAGATTTTAATTCCTCCAAGACAAAATTGGTTTTATTTAATTACTAATAGAGAACCATTTCTACCTGTAATAAAGTAGAGTGATTATATTGAATAAAGTAGAGTGATTATATTGAATCTACTGCTAAATCATTTGGGTCACTGTGGCGCGCCAGACAGTTTTTCTCGTCAGAATCCATCTTGTACGTTTATAAATCTATCATTCGTCTGTTCCTGAAATATTGCTGCCATGCTCATACCTGGTCTGGTATCTCGAGACTTTTGAGAAAATTCAAAGAAGGATCAATAATGTAATCGATATTGACCTGGC